TGGGGGGAAGAGGGTCCTTCCATTTAAGCAATATTAATCTTCTGGCAAGTAAAGTGGAAAAGGCCAACATTTTACAATTATAACCACTTAGACGCATGTTCTGTGCTGTGATGCCAAATATAGCAATAAAAGGAGATGGATCTATTGGCAATTCTATCATTTCTGAGAAAGCATCAAAGATCGATTTCCAAAAGTTGTACAAAGCTGGACATGTCCAAAACATATGTATAATGCACGCGCCTGGCTACACCTATCACAAATAGGATCTAGTTCTGGTCTGAATCTAGATAACCTAACCTTTGACCAATGTAGTCGGTGTACGACTTTGAATTGTATAACCACATGACGTTGACATATAGATGATGAGTAGATATGTTTAATAATTTTCTGCCAAATTGTTTCCGGGATTTGTTCATCCAAATCTACCTCCCATTCATTCTTCAGATGGTCTAAATTTGCCAGGCTATGCTGATTGAGGAGCTTATAAATTTTACCTATAGTTTGTTTTAAGGCTTGTCCTATCTTAAAAATAGAGTCTAATAGAGTTGTGGTAGGATATGAGGGAAAACCATCAGTATGCGAAACCAAAAAATTTCGTACTTGCAGGTATCTAAAGAAATGGGACCTAGGAATCTTAAATCTATTAACCAGTTCGTCAAAAGATACAAAAATGTTGTTTATATAAAGATCTTGAAATGTACAAACCCCACTTTTAGCCCAAACATCAAAAGCTTTATCTAATATTGAAGGAGTAAACATGCAATTATTGCTTAATGGGACACATAAAGAGAGACTACGGAGAGCAAATGACTTTCTAAATTGATTCCAAATTTTTAGTGATTGTATCACCATAGGATTCAAGGAGTAGTGAGAGGCAGGTTTAAGCACTGGAAGATCAGAGCACATTAAAGAAGATAGGGAAACAGATTTACAGGAGGTTTTCTCCAAACTAAGACATTTAGGGGCGCAAGGGCTATCACTGTCCTTCATCCATTAAGTCAATCCTCTCATATTAGCCGCCCAGTAAATTGGGAAGTGTCATGCCGCCTAAGGCGCGGGGCTTTTGTAATACACTTTTCCAAATCCAAGGATTTTTGTTGTTCCAGATAAATGCTGACATAGGCTTCTCTATGGAGTTGAACAAATATTTAGAAATAAATATAGGAACTTAGGCAACACATTCATCTTAATAGTATTAATTCTTCCACTTTAAGAGAGGGGCAGCAAATCCCAGCATTTGATTTCCTGTTTCAGACCTTCTATCAAGGGCAGAAAATTAGCTTTATATAGATCCTTGTAATTGCATGTAGCCCAGATTCCCAAATATTTAATCTTTTTTATGGTAACTTTAAAAGGAATCGAATTGAAAGAAATATGAGCAGCAGCTGCATTGATTGGCATTAACTCACTTTTTTGGAGGTTTATTTTGTAGTCGGACATCTTGCTGAATCTTTCCAAAATATTCAATAATTTAGAGAGACCCGGCAAGGGATCTGATAAACACAATAATAAATCGTACGCATAAAGCGAAATGTTACACTCCATATCCCCCCTACGAATCCCTTTAATAAAGATGTCTTGCCGTATGGCTATTGCCAGTGGCTCGATTGCAATGGCAAATAAAAGTGGAGACAGCGGGCAACCTTGCCTGATGCCTCTTTGTAGACTAAATAGGGCAGATTGATTATTGTTGGTGCGGACCACAGCCATTGGGGAGGAATAGAGGATTTTAACCCATGATATAAAATTAGGACCAAATCCAAATTTTCCTAAGGGGCAGAAAAAGTAGTCCCCCTCCACCCAATCGAAGGCTTTTTAAGCATCAAGCGATATCAGAATCTCTGGTATGTCGGGTGGGGCGGGACTATAAATACTATATAAAAGCCTCCTAACATTAAAAAAAAGAGTACCGATTCTTTATGAACCCAGTCTGATCTGATGAAATAATGGAAGGAACGAGCGCCTCAAGACGTCGTGCTAGTAGTTTCGCAAGAATCGTAACATCCGAGTTTAAAAGAGAGATCGGGCGGTAGGAGCTACACTGAGAGGGATTCTTATCTTTCTTCAAAATAAGAGAAATAGTTGCTTCACGCATAGTTGGGGGGAGAGAGTTTAAGGACAAAGATTCTTTAAATACAGTGAGAAGCAGAGGTGCAAGTGAACATTTTTTAAAGAACTCAGATGGGAAGCCATCTGGCCCTGAATGTTTAATGTTGTTTAAAAGTATTTTGTAAAAAGTCTTGATCATCTTTAAGCTTTCAGAAAAACTTTTCACTTGAATTTTTTAATGAGGAAACCAATTCTCCATTAACATGCAACATGCATCTAGCGTTGTTATTGTTAATTAAAACTAAAAAGATTAAAAACCATTTTCAGTAATTGAAATAAGGTCAAGTATAAATATTTAATAATATAAATATTAGATGAAAACCTTTAAAAATTACAGCAAATTTGAGAAATGCTGCCTAACCCCAAGTAATCTTAAATAAATATATTATATAAGCTATTTAGAAATATTAAAACAAAAAGCAAAAACTAATTAAAATGACAAAAGCACAAAACAAAATTACTAAAATGTTTTACTTTTTTTAGTTTTAAAATTAAAATAAACTGTGAATAAAATTCAAAATATGAAAAAATACTACTATATTAATAATAATAATAGTAAAACAATACTGCATGCATGTTAACGTATTAAATTCAAGTATTAATTTAGTATCCTTGATATACTAGTATAATTTTTGCTAATATTTTGAATTAGATTTTATTTTTATATTTTGTTTTTACATTAATTTGAAAGTTTGTCATTTTCATTAGTTTATTTTAAATGTCTATATAGTTTTATTCATTTTTATTTATTAGTTTTAGTTATTTTAGTACTTCAGATTAAGCTAAATGAAAAAGATAAATGTTGCCTTAAATGTAAGTTTTTTTTTAATATTTTATTTTATTGCAGTTTGTTTATTTTTGTTTTTCTGGTTTTAGTTAACGAGCAAACAGCAATGAAGTAACAAATTATAAAGCAAAAAAAAACAAAACTATAGAACTACAGTGAATATAAAACATCTGACCACATTGCTCTGTGTCCTTCAAAATATGCAAAAAAATCATCCCATGAACTGGAAAACACCCATTTCCATTAGCCTTATAAACATTTACACCAGATTTATTCACTCATTCTTATTTTTTTATTTTGCATCATTCAGCACGATTTCTGTAGATGCAGATGTAGATTCTGTGATTTAACAAACCTCTGGAGATGCTCTTGCTGATTGGTGGGAAGATCTAACGGAGATCTAACGAAGATCTATCTGCTGATTGGATCAATTATTCAAATGTGAGATCTGATTGGTTGCTGATAGATTAGGAGGATGGCTATAGTCTCTGGTCAAGAGAGCAATAGAGGATTCATCCTTCACTGGTCACAGACCGACCAATCACAGCCGCTTAATCAGACTCGACTCTCACCTGATTGGACGGTGGCTTGAGTGACAGATGCGCCCATCTTTAAAACGCAGAGGCAGAGAAGTGTGAAGACCAACGTCATCCTGGACATTTTTTTATTTTGCATCATTCAGCACGATTTCTGTAGATGCAGATGTAGATTCTGTGATTTAACAAACCTCTGGAGATGCTCTTGCTGATTGGTGGGAAGATCTAACGGAGATCTAACGAAGATCTATCTGCTGATTGGATCAATTATTCAAATGTGAGATCTGATTGGTTGCTGATAGATTAGGAGGATGGCTATAGTCTCTGGTCAAGAGAGCAATAGAGGATTCATCCTTCACTGGTCACAGACCGACCAATCACAGCCGCTTAATCAGACTCGACTCTCACCTGATTGGACGGTGGCTTGAGTGACAGATGCGGAGAAGCCGCCCATCTTTAAAACGCAGAGGCAGAGAAGTGTGAAGACCAACGTCATCCTGGACAGAGAGAGAGAGAGAGAGAGAGAGAGAGAGACAAAATGAGTCTGTGTGCAATCGGCTGCCTACATTTAATCAGATGTTCACTCAGTTTATTATCAGACCCCATAAAACATTCCTGAAGGTGTTTTTACTACACGACAGCTTTAAGAGCGCTAGAGGAGGTGGAGAATTAATGGAATAAGAAAGAAAAGCAAGATGCACGTGTTAAAACACGAGTGCAGATTCAGATGTTTTCATGTAGTTAAAGTTTAAAAAAAAATGACAATCATTTCTGCAAATATCTAGTTGCAGTTAAAACTGAATTCACAATAATACTGCATTGAAAATATCAGTTTTACAAAAGTCAAATTTGAAGTCATAATCTTGTAATAATTAGCAAATGGGTTGTTGAGTCAAGGATTTGAACAGAACAGTACAATTTATGAATGAATCATTCAGAGTCAGAGTCAATTATGTGAACTGGAACAACTGATTCATTAAAAAATCACTTTCTTCAAACATATTTAAATGCATATTAAAATTCCATTAATTTAAAACATGCATTGTGTTGTTACCTGATAGATTAGGAGGATGGCTATAGTCTCTGGTCAAGAGAGCAATAGAGGATTCATCCTTCACTGGTCACAGACCGACCAATCACAGCCGCTTAATCAGACTCGACTCTCACCTGATTGGACGGTGGCTTGAGTGACAGATGCGCCCATCTTTAAAACGCAGAGGCAGAGAAGTGTGAAGACCAACGTCATCCTGGACAGAGAGAGAGAGAGAGAGAGAGAGAGAGAGACAAAATGAGTCTGTGTGCAATCGGCTGCCTACATTTAATCAGATGTTCACTCAGTTTATTATCAGACCCCATAAAACATTCCTGAAGGTGTTTTTACTACACGACAGCTTTAAGAGCGCTAGAGGAGGTGGAGAATTAATGGAATAAGAAAGAAAAGCAAGATGCACGTGTTAAAACACGAGTGCAGATTCAGATGTTTTCATGTAGTTAAAGTTTAAAAAAAATGACTGAATCATTTCTGCAAATATCTAGTTGCAGTTAAAACTGAATTCACAATAATACTGCATTGAAAATATCAGTTTTACAAAAGTCAAATTTGAAGTCATAATCTTGCAATAATTAGCAAATGGGTTGTTGAGTCAAGGATTTGAACAGAACAGTACAATTTATGAATGAATCATTCAGAGTTAGAGTCAATTATGTGAACTGGAACAACTGATTCATTAAAAAATCACTTTCTTCAAACATATTTAAATGCATATTAAAATTCCATTAATTTAAAACATGCATTGTGTTGTTACTGTTTATTCAAACTATTAAAAATTATTGTCAGTAATTGCAATAAAGTTGAAATAAAATAAAAACTTGAAATAAAACTGAAATTTAAGTTTAAAACGACTAGAACTGAAATAAAAAATAACACAAAAACAATACAATTACATAAACTTAAACTAAAACTAAATCAAAAATGAAAACTGAAAATATAAAAATAAAAATAAAACCTAAAGCTTTTGAGTTATATCTTTTCAATGAATGCATCGATTTCTTCAAACTTATTTAAATGCATATTAAAAATGCATTTATTTAAAACATGCATCTAGTGTTGCTATTGTTAACTAAAACTACTTAAAATAGTTTTCAGTGATTAAAATAGTTCAAATAAAATATAAATATTAGATAAAAAACAAACTAAAATTTAAGTTCTAAAATTGCTAAAACTGAGAAATAAATTAAAGTAAAAAAAAATAGTAAAAAGACAAAATTGCTAAAACTTTAATATTAAAATGAAAACTGAAAATATACAAATAAAAGCTAAATTGTGAGTTGATTTCACATTTAAATGCATATTAAAAATGTAGTTGCTATTGTTAACTAAAACTACTTAAAATAGTTTTCAGTGATTAAAATAGTTCAAATAAAATATAAATATTAGATAAAAAACAAACTAAAATTTAAGTTCTAAAATTGCTAAAACTGAGAAATAAATTAAAGTAAAAAAAATTGTAAAAAGACAAAATTGCTAAAACTTTAATATTAAAATGAAAACTGAAAATATACAAATAAAAGCTAAATTGTGAGTTGATTTCACATTTAAATGCATATTAAAAATGTCTGTATTTAAAACAAAAGCTATATATACAGAAACTTTAGTTTATTATTCAGTTAAGATTTGTATTCAGTGTACAAAAGCTTGTGGGCAAATACTGAATAAATACTGTTTCTAAACAAGAACAAATGATCAACTGTAAGTGGCACTGTACATAAACATATGGAGCAGCAGCTTGATTGAATTTCAAATGTTAAAACCAAACCCTGCGCCCTTGAATGAATGAACCATTCTGTGCCAAGAGAGAGAGAGAGAGACACAGAGAGAGAGAGAGAGAGAGAGAGAGAGAGAGCGCGACTGAGGGACACAGAGAGAGAGAGAGAGAGAGAGCGCGACTGAGGGACACAGAGAGAGAGAGAGAGAGAGAGAGAGAGAGATGGATGGTGTTGGACAGCAACCGTCTCTTCACTGTCACCCCAGCAACATACATCACAAAACACACACACACACACACACACACACACACACACTCACCTACCAACATCTGAGTAATCATTCACACACCCGACGATAAAAAATTCTAATGGTTTCTCACACAGTGATTCATAATAAGAAATAAATGGGTTAAAAAGCCTTTAAGTTAATGATTTATTAATGGCCTCATATCATATATTTATCATATTTATGCCAAGGCTGTAATCATGTCTTGAACATTGCGGGGAAGCAAACTGGACCAGTTTCATGACCATTTGATAATGGTCGCTTTTATATAAAATAACATAATCCTTCTAGAATTTAAGGCAATAAAAAAGAAACAAATCCATTATTAAGACGTTTTAACTTCAAGCCATTGATTCTGGACAAAATAATCCATAATAACATTTTCCTCCGGTGAAAACGTCCATCTCCTGTTGTCTCTCACATCAAACTCCAGACACATATTTTGTTTCGAGCTGTTTTGGCTTGTAAACGCTGCTTGATCTGTGCAGATTTCTCTCCTGATTCAGACTAGACCACTTTTTCACTGGAGGAAGCGTTATGGATTATGGACTGTATTTTGACCAGAAGCAATGGTTTGAAGTTAAAAACATCTTAATGATGGATTTGTGGTTTCACAAGACGTTAACTGATGGACTGGAGTGCTGTGGATTACTTGTGGATTATTGTGATGTTTTTATCAGCTGTTTGGACTCTCATTCTGACGGCACCCATTCACTGCAGAGCATCCATTGCTGAGACACTGATGCAGTGCTACATTTCTCCAAATCTGATCATCTACATCTTGAATGGCATGAGAATGAAGACAATTTCATTTTAAGGTGAACTTTTGCTTTAAAACGACAAAAAAAGTAGAGTAGCTTGCGTCACTGGATATTATATGTCAGTCTTTTCACATTTCTGTCGTCACATGGTCAGATATTAAACGTTTAGTTACCTTACATCTCACCTCGCACTCTTTCCCCGTTAAAACTGAGATGTTGAGCTGGAATTTGCACTAGTCTAATTTTGACACTGATGAGCGCTGAGACAGACTAGCCTAAAAACATTTATTTCATAATTATGTTATTTATAATATTTAAATGTAATATTGTTTTATTAAATTTTATTAATTATTATTTTATTATTTACTTTATGGCCCTGATTTATGCAGCATTTAACAATTTTCACTGAGGTCCGCTTAGATACAACCATTTTTGCACCAAATACAGTAAGTCTAGTAATTACATTTTCCATAACCATTTTGCTATCTATTAGAATTAAAGGGACAGTTCACCCAAAGACATTTCAAATAAAAAAAAATATTTTTGTATATGCAACGAAAGACAATGGGGTCCAATGTTGTTTGGTCCCCCAATGTTCTTCAAAATATCATCTTTTGCGTTCTTCAGATGAAAATAGATTCATGCAGGCCTAGTGAGTAAATGAACTGGCCTTTTAAATAAGCTGTGTGTCTTTAAAACTTATAATCACCTATAAGATACAAAAAGTTGAATACTGTAAATGAACTAAGTAGGTTTCAGGAAGTTCTTTGAACTGTTTTGTTTGGATAAAGAAATGAATTACAATATAAAACAACGCGACACACACCAGCAGCAGCAGCAGACGGACCCAAATTCTCGGCAGAGTCTGGAAGTCTCAGCTGAGACTAAATAAAATGATCGAAAACCTAATTAGAGCAGTTAGTGTGAGGAGTCTAAAATAACGGCATCATCTCCAAACGCTCCAATTCAGATAAAATCTCCATCCTGCTTATCTGAGCGTCACAAATGTGCTTTTTAATTTCGCTGAGATGCATTAGGGCATCGTGGGAATTCATTAGACTCATCTTTCAAAACCCACTTCATCGATTTGCACAAGTTTGAACAAATCGCTAAATTACTTAAAAGGGTAAGCTCCAGAAACGCTTCATTATTTGTTTTTGGGGGGAAATCGGATTATGTGTGATCGATGCCGTGCTCGTCCAGAGACAGACGCATGGATGGGGGACGAGAGGGGCCGCAGGGGCCACAAGACCTGGTCAGATAATCTATCGGCGGAGAGTAAGTGGCCAATTAGTCACGTAACTGTACCGAGAACACAATACAACACACACGTCTGATTTTACATCATGGTGGGAATTTACCATTCACTTCTGTTGCTTTTATACTGAGCTCATTATATTTGCTCCATCTGAACCCCGTGTACTGATCAAACAAACATTTGGGGATTTTTTGATATTATTTTGTCCCTGTTTTCCTCAAGGTAGTTCTCCAGTGTACTTTTAACTAGAATGGCGTCATAACTGCTTAACTATAATAAATACTTACATAACAGGTTAATTATAGTTTACTAAAAATTAAACCATTATTTATTTTTAACTTTGAATAAAATAAACGTTAACTGAACTAAAACACAATTCATAACACGTAAATGTTTTTTCCCCCCACTAATGTTCAAGGCAATATTTCTCATTCTCACTTAATTTAACTTGATATGCTAAAATAAATAAATAAAAACTATATAGACATTTTGTAAAAATAAAGAAAGAAATAAAAGAACAATAAAAAAAAATGACTAAAAAATTAACTAAAATGAAATATAAATGAATTCAAAACTACAATAGTATCTAAATGATACTAAAATAACACTGATACATAAACATAAATTGATTACAGTATCAACAAGATTATGAAAATGGATTTTAGTATCATATCATCACACTGTCCAACTCTATATATTAAAAAAATGTGCCAATGTGTGTTTTTAACATATAGAGTTTGAAAAGTATAGTACTATAAAAAATTAAACCCGTATTCATAATCTTTTTACAACTGTAGATCAATTTACAGGCGTAATAGAGTCATAAATGTTCTACTTACTTAGTGCCGGCACACTTTTTGTTTTTGTGAAAATCAGATAATAAGGGAGTGATTGATTGTGACAGTCCAGAGAAAGATGCAGAACTGGATCGAAGATGAGATGATGATTTATCAAAAAAAGATGAATCAACATACAGTAAATGAGCAATTAAGTCACGTAACAGTGACTAACAGTCAGCAAAACACACCTAAAACATCTCAAACACACAAAACTATGCATGCATAATCCATTTTATCTGTAGTCATACCTTAAAAATGATGAATATAGGCTTTAGTATAATAAGATTACATGCAGACAGATATATATTTATATATAAAATACATTTTTATATATAAATGTAAATAAAAAAATTAATTTGATATACACATTAATAATTATATTAATATACAATTACATTTAATTCAAATATTTTAAATCATATATTTTTTAATCAATTTTATAGAATTCATACAAATATACAAAATACAATATATATATTTATACATTTATTTAAAGAGTTTTAAGAATTATATTGAAAATAAGAATTCTTATGAATTATTGTAAAGTGCAAATGCAGTACAAATGATCATTGTAGTGCAAATGGCATGATATTAAAGTAGCCTATAAATGTGGTTGAGAATAGTAACATACCCCACATTTTTACTTTCATCTATTCTAAACATTGGATCCATAATGCATGCAAAACCTGAAAGCATTGATTTTTCAGCACAGATCCATGAGTTGAGCAGCAGAAGCTGTGATGTTGAGATGTTAAACGGCTTTACTCACATGCTCCCGCTGCAGGTCTGGTTCTTCTCATCAGTCCGGTTCCTTCTGCAACAGAACCACAAACTTAGAGCAGAACAGACACAACCCATCCGTCTCCACTGATCTCTCTCTCTCTCTCTCTCTCTCTGTCTGTCTGCCGGTCTCTAACCCACTACACCTCCCCTCTCTCTCTCTCTCTCTCTCTGTCAGCCGGGACGGGGGATGATTTAACGGGCCCCTCTGCGTGTCCCCGTAAAACGTGAAGGCAAACCGGCGGGACTCTCATCCAATCAAAGCGATGCGCTCGAGCGCATATTTCACATCCATCTCACCTGAGTGTGGCGCTGGCATTACGAGCGTGTGTTCAGGTGTGATGAACGCTCACATGCACAAGAGAAAGTTAAACATGATTATGAATCAGGCAACATATATAGCATGCACTCTGGTTTCAGATGGTAATAACATGCTACTTTGATTTATATGGTACAAGGATGCTTTTATTTTCTCCCAAAACACTAAATTGCAACAGAACCACTTTCACAATGTTTATCATTATGCACATAAGATTTCCTGCATATAATATTTCCAAGCTCAGTTTCCTGCATATAATATTTTCCTGCTTCATGATATGATCAAATGCAATAGCAGCTCAATTTCTAACATGGCATATTTCAAATTATCACCCATTTTTGAGATAAGACTTGATTTAATAACCTTCAACAAGCACGAACAACAGTAACTAAACAGAAGGACAGTATGTTTTGATATGAAATGTCAAAAGTGTAATTATAAAAAAAAAATTTTTTGTAAGTGCTTATTTTGAGTAACTATTAATTTAAAAATGTTTAAAACCTATTTTTAACATATTTAAAATATATAATTTATTTTAACATGCATATAATTTTTATTGATTATAGAAAAACTTGAAGAGCTTATTTTAAGTAACTATTTATTTAAATGTATTAATTATAAAAAACATTAACATATATTTAAAATAAGAATGTATATATTTTAACATATATGTAATTTATTACATAATATATTGCATCAAATTGCACCTGCATAATAACAAAATACTAAAATAATATTATAATACTAAAATAATTATAGGCCTATATTATTGTTTACACACACACACATACATATATATATATATATACACAATTTTTTTATTTTAAATATTTGTATATTATAATATATTGTGTTAAAAACGATATTAAACATTTAAACCTTAAAAAAATATATTATATATATATATAATTTTTTGTATTAAATGTGGGGCAGATTATTTTCAATCAAACAACCTTGTCAAACTTTTTTTTTCGCACACATTTTGTTGCCCCATCAGTATTTAATACTTATAAATATATTTTTCCATCATTATACACTATATACATACTGGTAATAAATGTATAGTCTGAATGCACTGTAAGTCGCTTTGGATAAAAGCGTCTGCTAAATGCATACATTTATTTACAATTTAAATTTATACACATCATAATCTGTCATATCTCAGCGTCTCAGTGAAAGATCAATATTATACTCATATTCTCAACATTCAGAAGCAAACTCCAAAGCTGTTGAGAAAACAGCACAGGATTAGTGGCAGACTTTGAGACACTTTTCTGCGGCACTGAAGCGAGGAAGTGGACGCGCAGGTAAACGCTCACCAAACCACACGAATGAGAGAATAAAGACACCAACCGGCTCGCGTCGCTCCGCTGCTGTTTCTGACCTTATTAAACGAGGCTTTCGTGACGGTTCAGCGCGCGACGAACGTTTCCGTGTATCTCTATGTGAACGGAAACAAACGCGCAGATTTACGGTCACATCAGAATATGGAAGACCAAAAGCGCCAAAAACACTTGAATTTTAAACGCGTCAAAAACGCGTTAAACACGTGTATTTCACGCGTAAACGACACGTATTTAACGCGCTGATTTTTCACGCGTAAACGACACGTATTTAATGCGTTTTTGACGTGTTAAAATTCACGTGTTTTTGGCCCTTTTGGCCTTCCACATCAGACCGCATCAGTTCAGGCTCCTCCCACGGAAAACCATTAAACACAGGCTTTGTCCAACTACCCACACTTGGGTCTTTGCACTTGACCACTTGACTACTTAAATGACATATTTCCTGTATTTGGCCCAAGTGTTCAAGTGAGCATGAAGACCACAAGTGTGTGTCGAACTTTTCATTACCTGATGGGACACACTTACAGTGTTGTAAAAATGCAAGCGTTTACACAGCTCTATTTAAATTAAAATTTTAAATACTTAGCATTTTAAAATCAACTTCTAAATGTCTGTTCAGTCGTCCCTATAACATGACATAATTTTAATTTGTGGTGCTTCTAATTGAGTGATAAAAAGCAGTTGCAAATGTTGTACAAAATAAATATCACCTCTACTCATCTTTGCACCAATAAAATGTAAAAACCCTGTTTTTCTACCAAATTATATGTAATATCTAATTATTATATTCATATTGAACTTGCATTGGAAAGGTTTCCGTGACCTCTCGCGAGATCTCGGCGACGCGACGCGACGCTGCTGGAACCGTCCCGTTAAAATCACGTGTGTTGGTGTTGCTTTCAAAACTGAAGAGCAGAGTTAAACGCTCAGTTCATACATTTCTGCAATTAGATAACTTTTTTAATTTTTTTAATATATATTTTTTATATCTAAAAATGTTACACATTTAAAATATATAATTATATAGGTTATAATAGTTTCATTTCATTTAGCCTAAATATTAAATTTAATTTTAAACATTTACAATAATAGTAATTATTATTATTATTATTATATAGGCCTATATAAACAAAAATAAATATTTTTAGTATTTTTTTAATTTTTTAATGTAGTCATGAATTAATTTTAGCAGAGTTAAACGCTCAGTTCATACATTTCTGCAATTAGATAACTTTTTTAATTTTTTTAATATATATTTTTTATATCTAAAAATGTTACACATTTAAAATATATAATTATATAGGTTATAATAGTTTCATTTCATTTAGCCTAAATATTACATTTAATTTTAAACATTTACAATAATAGTAATTATTATTATTATTATTATATAGGCCTATATAAACAAAAATAAATATTTTTAGTATTTTTTTTTTTTTAATGTAGTCATGAATTAATTTTTGTATGACTTACTTTTCCTATATTTATTATTTTCTTATTTTCCTTTATTATCTTTATTTTATTTTTGTACATTTGATTTGATTCTTTAATTTATTGTTATATTGATTTATTCCTACATGTATTTATTTTAATATCCATCGATACATGTATTTATTTATTTTTAATTTTTGCAGGTTTAGTTGTGTCCCCCTGTGTTGTAAATAAAATCATTTAAAATAATATATAAATTAAAAATAAAATAACTAATATATTATTATATTAATATTATATTATGTTTTTTTAAACATAATGTTTATTCACGTTTATTTTATTGTATTTTGTATTATTACCCATTTTAAATAGTTATATTATGCATATATTTTATTATCTAAAATATTTAAAAATCATATTTTTAAAAATAATATTTATTTATTCATTCATGCATTCTATTCTATTCTATTTCATTTGTAAATATTCAATTAATTGAATCTCAGACATCTTTACTGTGTTTTGAAGTGGTTTTCTATGTGACTGTGACTGAGTGAAATCTCTACGTTAGAGAGACTAGTTAGTGTTAGTTAGTGTTAGTTAGTTAGATGTATAGTGTGTGTTTGTGAATGTCATACACTGCTTATAATGTTTGTGTGTGTGATTTACAGTTATGGGTCTGCATCACATTTGTAAATCAAAGCCAGTACTGTTTATTTGATCGATATTTACACCCAGCGCCTCCCTGACTCATGCGTTTTTCTGTGAACTTGAATTAATACAGTTTATGTGTGTTTATGTGCGGGAGAATAACCAGACCGTTGCTTTCTTTGCTGAGGCTTCATCTTAAATAGACACCACAGCAGTTCCTGAGCTCATCAGACACATTAAACCAACTCTTTTATATGCTAAGCATTTGTATTTTTCTCCTATTTGCTGATTGTATTGCAATATTATATTATTTGCGTTTATGTATCTGGCAGATGTTTCTATTTAAGCACTTACAGTATATTCAAAGTATGCATTCTATTCTATTTGAATTTTATTTCAAAAATAGAACAATAAATAAAACAATTAATTATAAAAACAATTAATTTAGTCATTTGTTTATTTTTGTGTTTGTTTATTGTTCTATTTATATAGCCCCACATGTATTTTTTTATATTTATTTATTTATACATTCATTTAGAATAGAATAGAATATGGTTTAGTTTAATTTCTTCATGAAATAAATAAAATTTATTTTTATTTTTAATTAAATTAAATGTATTACTTATTTTTCTTTATTTATTATTTTCTGTAATGATTTTAACTTTGTTTTTGTCATTTTTAAACCTCTTTTTTTCACATTTTTATTTATTTCCATAATTGTTATTATATGAGATAATTAAATTATTTTATCAAATAAATACAAATCATTTTAAATTGAATTTGGTCTTGAATTATGTTTGTACTACTTTTTTTTTTTAATTGGTTTTAACTTTTTTTTCTTTAATTTTTTTCTTTATTTTTATTATTTTTACATTTAATTTTATTCTTTAATTTATTGTTGTATTGATTTATTCCTACATGTATTTATTGTCATATTTATTGATTTGTCATTTTTGCAGGTTTAGTTGTAAGAGGACCTGTGTTGTTTTTGTGGTGCAATGCTGCCATCTAGCGGCGGAGCTCAGTATTCCTGCCTCAGCGCAATATCTGCTGCGCTGGCACATTTACAGGCGCTTTTACCTCGCTGTTAATCCACCTGGCGATTTATAACCCAGGAGCGAGAAGATGACCTTGCTCTTCATCTGCAGATTGATGCGACGTGAGTTTTGTTTACAGAAGTTACAAACGCACGTGTGTCTGCGCATGTTCTTCACTGCGGCATCGCTGCACTGACAGCACTTCACCAGCAGGCGGCGCCGTTTAATAGCATCAAATATTGATCAAAGAACTATTAGATTCATTTAAACATAAATGAATACATAATTATAAAAGGAGACTTGCATATACTTACATGCTGTAATAAATCTATGTAGATTTAAAAAATAAATATGCATTAATATTGTTTTATTATATTTTATAATAAATATATATTTTATACATATTATATTAACATTTTAATTGTAATTTATTTTTACAATCTACACAACTAAAAGAGAAAAGGTCATTTTTAATAAATTACTATATAAAACATACAAAAGGAGAATATGTAAAAAAAAATAGATTTTTATATTATCAAATTATTATATAGTATAATAAATGTATTTAAAAACAGAAAAAGTAGAATAATGGCATATTATTAACTTGCAATCTATATAGAACTACAAGAGAAAATGCCATTTAGAATAAAAATCGAATATATAACAAATATTAAAAATTATTTCAGCTAAAATACTTTAAAAACATAATTGCATAAGGAGATGATATAAAATAGTTATATTTACACATACCTTTATGCTAAAAAAAACAGAATAAAATAATAAATTATTATTAAAATGCAATCTACACAGAAATACAAGAGAAAATGTAATTTACAATAAATTCTGATATATAATAAATATTAAAATAGTATATATAAATATTGAAAATTATTTCAGCACAAATTACTTTCAAACATAATTACAAAATGATATATGAAAATATAAAATAGACATATTTACATATATATATATATATATATATATATATATATATATATATATATATATATTAGAATTTATAATATAAAACAATGTAATTGCAGTAAAAAAAAAGAATGTGGCTTAACATCTGTAGCGTCTGAAACACTGGCATGTGAAAACATCTGCTTCAAATAAAGCGTGAACACAGGTGAGATGCGGGAGTCTTCAGGAGTCTTCAGGAGAGCGTCTCAAGCAAACATCTGTCATTAGCTCTGAGCTTTCAGAATAGACCAGCAGCTAATTTTAGCCGGATGTGAGAGGATTTAGTTTGCATTTCAAGCACCGTCAAGACGAACACATCAGCCTTTCAAACCTCTGGTGTTGAAGAGAAGAAAGGCTTCATTTAAAGCCTCTCCGTAAATCTGCTCCTCTGCGATTTTATAATTATTTATCCTTCAGAATGTAAAACTGATTAGTCACACTGCTACGACTCTGACAGCATCATTTCAGAAAAACCATATAAACTTAAACCAAAGTGCTATAAAATACTGTAAAGTTTTTAAACTTCAAATTTTTCGAAAGTTTGTGGAAGTAAAATATATGAGTTGCCTTCAGATGTAAATAGACTGCTACACTACTGTTCAAAACATTTGGGGTCATTTTTTAAAATTAGCCTAATCGTTTTATTCATCGAGGATGCATTAAATTGATCAAAAGTAACAGCATGCTACAAAAGATTTCTGTTTCAAATAAATGCTGTTCTTTTGAACTTTCTGTTCATCTGTGAATCCTGAATCCTGGAGTAATGGTGCTGAAATGTAAGCTTTGTATTACAGGAATAAATTAAGTTTTCACATATATTCACGTATAGAAAACAGATCTTTTAAATTGTAATAATATTTCACATTATTACTGTTTTTACTGTAAAAATGAACAGGATGTGTTTATGTCTAACTCTTAAAATATATGACAGAGACGTCAGCGACCGTGAACACAGCTCACCCTGCTGCTTTATTTATTCACCAAAACTAAAAATACCTTTCAAAAAGCCTCATGTCTCTGGAGAAAGCATCGCGGCTCACGTTCTGCTGGACACTTGTGTGTCTGTAAACACTGAATAGACTCTACAAAAATAATAGACGTGGCCTATCTATAAAGTTTTAATAATCGAGCTAATTCTGTGAGAATGGGGAAGTCTTATAACAACACAGAAGAACGACACTTTCAGAATGATTTTCCCCTGCTGATGAACAATAAAAACAGATAGCCAACATTTTGAAAGCTTGTGCATTTAAAAGAGCATGCTTTTATTAAAGTGATGGTTCACCCAAAAATCCCCATCACCTTCAACTCAACCTGGCTAAGACTGAACTGCTTGTGGTTCCAGCAAACCCATCACTTTATCAGAATTTCACCATCCGGTTAGACACATCAACCATAACTCCTTCAAAAACAGCCAGAAACCTTGGAGTTATGATTGATGATCAGCTGACTTTCTCAGACCATGTTGTTAAAACTGCCCGGTCCTGCAGATTTGCTTTATACAACATCAAGAAGATCAGGCCGTTTCTTTCGGAACATGCTTCACAACTCCTTGTTCAAGCTCTTGTTCTGTCCAGGCTGGACTATTGCAATGCTCTCTTAGCAGGTCTTCCAGCCAATTCTATCAAACCTCTACAATTAATCCAGAGCGCGGCAGCAAGATACATTTTTAATGAGCCCAAAAGAATGCACGTCACACCTCTGTTCATCAGTTTGCACTGGCTACCAGTAGCTGCTCGCATTAAATTCAAGGCATTAATGTTTGCCTACAAAACCACCACTGGCTCTGCACCCCTTTACCTAAATTCATTACTTCAGAGTTATGTGTCTCTAGAAGCTTGCGTTCTGCAAGTGAACGGTGTATTATTGTTCATCTCAAAGAGGCACAAAATCACTTTCACAGACTTTTACATTAACTGTTCCCTCCTGGTGGAATGACCTGCCCAACTCAATCCCAGCAGCTGAGTCCTTACCCATCTTCAAGAATCGGCTACAAACACATCTGTTCCACCTTTATTTGACCCTCTAACTCTAGCACTCTCTATTCTAATTCTATTCTTTAAAAAAAAAAAACTTGTCCCTTTTAGACTTGCACTCCATTGCCTATCTATTTGCTTTCTTTTTATTTATTATACAATTAACAAAAGCAACAAAAAGGCCTCTAACACTAGCTTGCGCTATTCTTTTTCTATTCTATCTGTTTTCTTTTTATTTAATTCAATTCAATTTAAATTCAAGTTTATTTGTACAGCGCTTTTCACGATACAAATCATAGCAAAGCAACTTTACAGCAAATTAAGTTTTATTCTATAATTTTTTTTTAAAACCTTGCTATGTGTACTGCGTAGTAAGGACATCTTAAAATGGTCCATGTGACATCAGTGGTTCAACCGTAATTTTACAAAGCTACGAGAATACATTTTGTGCGCAAAGAAAACAAAAATAACGACTTTCCTCTGCATGTAAACAAGGCGCAGCCCATGCATTGTTTAAGTTCAGAGGAAAGCACGCGCATGCGTCATGGTACTCTCCAAAATGGTGTCAGGGTGACGAGGAGGAGAAGAATTATTGAATAAAGTTGCTATTTTTGTTTTGCTTGCACACAAAAACTATTCTCATAGCTTCATAAAATTACGGTTGAACCACTGATGTCACATTAACTATTTTAACGATGCCCTTACTACGTTTCTGAGCCTTGATCGTGGTAGTTCCCTTGCTGTCTATGGGAGGGTCAGAGAGCTCTCGGATTTCATCAAAAATATCTTAATTTGTGTTTTGAAGATGAACGAAGGTCTTACGGGTTTAGAACGACATGAGGGTGAGTAATTAATGACAGAATTAAAATTTTTGGGTGAACTATCCCCTTAACAGAACGTTATCGTGCGCTGGTGTGAATGCAAATATAATAATCAGTGTAATTATCTTTTTTTAAGTTATTTTTATGGACTTATGCCTTTTATTGATAGGACAGTAGAGAGAGGACAGGAAAGCATGGGGTAGAGAGCGGGATCGGCAAAGGACCTCGAGACGGGAATCGAACTCGGGTCAACGCACTAACCAGGGCTGCGTTTCCCAAAAGCATCGTGAGCTTAAGTACATCATAGACCCATTGAAACCAATGGAGCTACGATCAACTCAGGCTTAAGATGCTTTTGGGAAACGCAGCCCAGGAGGCTATTGGCGGCGACGGGTGTAATTATCTTCAAATTCTATGAGAATAATTAAAGTTCACACTACAACTATCAAGATACTGACAGAATTGGAATGGATTCACTTTCAGAAAGTTTTGTTTTTACAGCTGTTGAACGATATATACAGTATACTGACAGCCAATCAGAATCAGCACAAGCTTAAAGTGCTTGTACATTTAAAGCGGCAGATGGCAAAACTGAATCGTAAACTGGCCTTAAATACAACCAGAAAGCTTTAATAATCGTTCTAATTCTACGAGAATAGGGAAGTCTACACTACAACTATAACGACAAGGACGCAGGGAAACTATATATTTGGAATAACTTAAAGAACGATGTTCCAGTTGATACAAAATCATGTGTTTCCATCCACCTATTTTCATGCGCATTTTGGGACATCGCATAAAGAAAACCGCTGGCTGGCAACGCCAAGATGCGCATAAATTCTAAAAACGGTAAGAAAACGTGCATAAACTACGATGGAAACACTTTTACGGAATAAATTCCTTAATGTGCATCAAAAAAGGCATGTGTTTTATGCGATATTCCAATTTTGTGCATAGGTTTAATTCGTAACTTTGGATGGAAACATTGACAACCAATCAAAATACACCCTGCTTTAAAGAGATCGCGCATTTAGAGGCAGACGACAAAAACGCAGCATGCACATATAATAAACAGAACGTTATCTTGCGTTAACATCAAACTGTCCTAATATTGAACTTTATTTGCCTTCTATAACTTTTGGCCAGCAGCAAGGCAGATTAGGATTTGGAACAGATCTTGTGCTAACGGTGTATTTGTGCTGATGGCAGAAGAAACACTGAAACCAGACCAGAGTTTAATCTTTTTTATTATTATTATTATTATTTTTAGATGATATTTTCCTCCTGTGGCAGGTTTAATGCTTTATTCAGAACTCTTTACATAATGAACATGAACGTGTTCAGAATTAAGGTGCAAACATCAGCAAACACAAAAGAACTTCCCAAGTCAGCAGAAGATCATTTCAGCATGGCAATAATCAGAACATCTTCTATGAAAAACAGGCAGACGTCTTTAGTGGTACGGCTCGTGACCTTTTGTTTTCTCTCTCGTATCGCTAGCGGGACCCTGACCTTTGACCCTCCTCGTTGATGCTGGTGCAGCTCCACTAATGGAAGACTTCTCATAAACCCAGCCGACAGCTGATTGGCCTTTACGTTGATGGATCTGACCAATGAACAGGTCGATCACATTTAAAGGGGAAGGAACCTGGACTCCAGTAACCAATCAGAAATATACTGAGCTATATCAGGGAACTTGGCTGTGTCCAGAATGTCATCCCAGCATACTAACCTCACTATTTCTGCAGTATATAGTATGCATACTGTGCACAGTATGCAAATGTTCTTATGCATGGCAGGAGCTAAGGCATTTTCCTAAAGCTGAGCAGCTTATTTATACAGCGCTTTATACAATACAGATCGCTTCACAGTAATAAACAAGAAAATAACAGTGTTAAGGTCTTTGCACATTGAGTCTGAAATTCTTGTCCAAAATTTTCGCCTGTTAAAAATTAAATACGACCTCACGTTCGAACCGGAGCTCCTCACCTCTCAAGTACATTATAAAAAAATTCGGATCAGGATCGATTTTCTGTATTTTCGCATCCATAGCAAGCATTTTGATAGGATAGGATGACGAATACGGAAAAAACGAAAGCAAATATTTCAGACTAGGTGTGCAAGGAACTTTAATGTTGCAAAATGCATCAATTATGAAACAAATTTCAGTAGACAACAGTGTCATTATTTAGTGATGCTAATTCAATCTAGTTCAATAACAGTGCCAATCTTGCAAAGTTCAAGTAGAACACAATCCCACAATGCAATGCATTCAACCTTCTATTTACAGTGCGAAAAACTACACTTTTTCCTCATTATTTTAAAGGATGTCTTACACAAAATTGGATTAAACATGCAAAACAACCGTATTTATTTCAGACATCTGCTGAAATAGACATGCAACATAGTGAGAAAAAAAATTTAGTACACTACTGTTTGGAGCATTTATCATTGCAAGCGTTTCACCTACTATTTTTAAAAAAACTATTAGGCAGTATTGAATATATACTGTGCAGTAAGCAGTAGGCTAGGACTCCATTCTGAACACAGCCTGCGTTTTAACAAGGAGTGAATAAAAAAAACACTGAGAGAAAGAAAGCCGGGGCAGTATATTCTCTGGTTTTAAGTGGTTTAGTCCAGTTTAGTTACTCCGAGGGCAGTCTGTGCTTTTGGCAGGATAAATTTCAGTAGACAACAGTGTCATTATTTAGTGATGCTAATTCAATCTAGTTCAATAACAGTGCCAATCTTGCAAAGTTCAAGTAGAACACAATCCCACAATGCAATGCATTCAACCTTCTATTTACAGTGCGAAAAACTACACTTTTTCCTCATTATTTTAAAGGATGTCTTACACAAAATTGGATTAAACATGCAAAACAACCGTATTTATTTCAGACATCTGCTGAAATAGACATGCAACATAGTGAGAAAAAAAATTTAGTACACTACTGTTTGGAGCATTTATCATTGCAAGCGTTTCACCTACTATTTTTAAAAAAACTATTAGGCAGTATTGAATATATACTGTGCAGTAAGCAGTAGGCTAGGACTCCATTCTGAACACAGCCTGCGTTTTAACAAGGAGTGAATAAAAAAAACACTGAGCGAAAGAAAGCCGGGGCAGTATATTCTCTGGTTTTAAGTGGTTTAGTCCAGTTTAGTTACTCCGAGGGCAGTCTGTGCTTTTGGCAGGATAAAAAAACCCGATCTCTCAGAGAGAACGGTTTAAAACAGGCGTATGGTGAAATGAGAGCAGACGCTTCCGTTTACTGAATGCAAAATCTCAGATTGAGACATCACTGTCCATCCGCTTGATTTTGAGCACATTCAAAACACCACGGGAAAAAGTTTTCAAATAAAAGAGTTCGATCTGGATGTTTGTAACATTCGCCACGCCATTATTGGCTCAGAAATCGTCATGATTATGACATCATAACCATAAGCTCATTAACATATCACCGCCCACATTTACACATCAACACCTATTCAGCGGCCCGCCCCAATAAACGGCACCAGTATGCTGATGCTCTCCAATCATAACAGTTCATTTACATATACAAGTCTTAAAGGTACAGTAGCAAGCCTATTTCAGAGACGGCGGAAAATGACATTGTTGAATGTCGAGTAACATTATAAGAGGGGATTTAAAGAAAAATGCTACAGAAGTGGAGACTGTATGACAATTCATACAGTGGAATGAGATGAAGCAGATCTGCTTCCGTTTCAGTCAGAGCCTATCAGCAGAGCAATTCCTGAACCCTCCAGCCAATCACAGAGCAGTATTCACAAGCCCCTCCCCCTCCCACCCAGAATAAAAAAACAAAGCAATGATTGGAGGACACAATCGATGAGAACATTCAAGATTAATGAGGTGAGAGACGTATAGCGGTGAGCGAAAGTGCTTTTGGCATTCATAAATCAACGTGTGATCATCGAACATGGCTTTAAAGCTCAGACTCCCGAAAGAAAACACCCTCACGCGTCTCCACGAGCATGTGACGCCAACAGACTCTTGCCAGACTTTGCATAAAATGTAAAATCATGTAGTGATTTTCAGAGACTCCTAAAATATTTTCACAGGCAAGAATTCAGCTTTTTTAAATACTTTTTTTTTCATGTTACTTTGTTAATTTTTGTTTCAGTTGATGTTTGTCGATGCTGAAGTTGCTGTTGTTTGTTCGGGTGTAAGAAAGCATTCAGCTCCAGGGGTCACCGGATGTGTATGTGTGTGTGTGTGTGTGTGTGTGAGAGAGTGTGTGTATGTGCGCGTGTACATTTACAGGTCAGTGTGTGTGTGTGTGTGTGTGTGTGTGTGTGGCTATGAGCCTTCATGATCGGTAGAGTCCTGGTTCAACTCTTTCCTGGTGCCCATAGTGGGAGTTCCTGAGTTTTTCCTGGACCGCTGCTTCTCGTCAATATCATGCAGCGACGGCTCCTTATACATACACACTGAGACACAGAGACAAATACATACAAAACAACATTATTAAAACAGCAGGGGTTTTGAAATTAGTCATGCATTAATACAGTGCTGGTCAAACAACTCTGAGAAAAAAAGCTACAATTTTGCATTATTTTCTAATTCATGTGTGTCTGTGTGTGTGTGTGTGTGTGTGCGTGTGTGTGTGTGCGCGCGTGCACTTGTCAAGGATAGAAAACCTGAAATATTTCACATTGGGAAAAAATGATTAAAAATAGTAAATGACTTTTATCTGAAAGTGTAACAATGCAAACAGGTTTTCTGTAAGGGGTAGGTTTAGGGTTAGGGGATAGAAAATATCGTTTGGTCAGTATAAAAGTAATAAAAGTCTGTAGAAAGTCCCCAGGGGTAGGTTTAACAAACGTGTGTGTGTGTGTGTGTGTGTGTGTGTGTATACACAATATGTTAAAAGAATTGATCATATGCATATGTATTTGTGTGTAGTTCTGGGTGATGTAGTTGAAATAACATTTAATACATTTTATTAATATATTATTTAATATAATATATTAAATATTCAATTTTATTTCATGTATTTTAATATGTGTTTTCTATAAAATTCTACCTACGCGCATGCACACATATATAAATTATATAGAATATTATTTAAAAAAAAAGACTGGCAAATATTGACATTTTCTCTCTCTCTCTGTATATATTATATTTCAAGCAAATAGCCAATGATGTGAAATAGATTTGAGTAAAAATCTAGTTAAAATAATCAATTTATGATTTCTACTTTATTTCACTCAAATAACACAAGGAAGAATTTTTATATTATTTCAGCTTTATTTATAGGTAACCATTTTAATCTACATGGCCTTAATATTTCAATAAAAGCAATTTTAAAAATGCCAAACAAAGAACATTTCTGAGTAATGACCAAAGAATTCAGTTTGAATTTTGAACTGATTCATTAAAACAAACAGATTGAAAGAACTATTTTATGTAAATTATTCAAACATTTCAAACGTTTAAATTGAGCAAGTCATGACACACATCTACTCTTAAAATATTTAGTAAAATAAAAATGAATAAACTGTAAATATTTCATGCATTACCCAGCCCTACTTATGCATGTGTGTATGTGTATATGTGTATATGTATGTGTGTGTGTGTGTCCTCACCTTCAATGGGTCTGGGCACGAAGTGTGAGCATGGTTTAGTTTTCTTGACCCGGTTTCCCTTCATGATGATTCCTTCTTTATTGAGTCCGAGGAACCAGGCGCGTCCGCTCTCATGCTGGCGATACACCGTGGATGAGTAGATCACATAATAATTCTCAAAAACACTCTCCTTAAACTTACACTCCGCTGTGAATGTATCCTACAGACAGACAGAAACAGAGAGAGATCGAGAGAGATGTTAAAACACAATTACAGCTCTCAGGTGTGTGTGTGTGTGTGTGTGTTTATAGAGTCTTTGTCCCAGTTTCTTTATAAAGTCTTTTAAATGCACAGGTGGGGAGGGTGGAGACGGCCGTCAACCGGAGCAGAAACCACCTCAGGTGAACACACGCACGCACGCACACACACACACACACACACAAACATTTGACACAATTAATGTTTTGTATATATTACACACAGTGGGGTATAAAAACCTGAGAGCACCAGGGAAAATGTTTATATTTTGCATTGGAAATTTAATAAATCTTTTTCACTACAAATTATATTATCAGCATAATATGAGTGAGATTTTAAACTGAAAAATGCATCTAATTTGAGAACGTGCGTCTTATATTTCATTGGAAGCAAGAAAATCACATATTTGATAAATCACTAAATTCTGAAATATTTTATTATTTTTTCATTGTAATAGAGAGCTTGATTAAAACAAGGTTTTTGCTAAATATAAAATTCAAGATACTTAGACATTTTGCTATGCAGCATAATTTACACATATGTATTAATATATACAAACATATGTAATATATGTACATATATTCCACTGTATATAGTCATTTTAAGTGAAAACAAATATAAAAGCTGTAAAAAATTGGAACAAAAATATGTATGTTTATGTAAGTGTAATACATTTTTGGACATTATATGTCATGTACATGTACATTTACCCTAAAACCCATCAATAAATGTTAATAATGAAGAAGTAAATAAAAAAAGATAGACATGCCTTTAGAAATGTTCAGATTTTTGTATAAACGGCATGTTGTTGTTAAAGTTGCATTTATAAATAAAATATATTGTTGACATATATGGTTGCTGCATATAATATATAAAAAAAATCATCGTATAGATAGTATTAACATACACAAATCTTACGCTAAGGGTTTTATATGTGTCATAAACTTATATCTACCCAGAGAATGTGCGTATGTGAAAATTATATTTTGGTAACATATATGGCAATATCACTCTTGATATTGGGCATTATATGTCATATTAGGGCTGCGAGATTATGACAAAAATCATAATTGTTGATTATTCTCTTGAAATTGTAATTGTGATTTATTTAATTACGATGATGATCACAATTTTCATTGAATGATGTTTATAACATTGAAGCAACTGCATGCCATATTTTTAGATGAAAATAATAATAACAAACTGAAAAGCTTCTATTGCTTTTCTATAATATTAAGCCTCAAATGTCAGCTATACATTGGATTGGTTTCTTCTTTAAATAAAAAAAGTAAAAATATGAATGTTATTATAATGTTATACTAAAACTACAATCAAAACAGTGGAAAAACCTTTAAGATAACCTGTAGAGAAAAAAAAAACATCTTAAGCATGCAGAATAATTTAAGTGGACTTTGAACGATTAATTGCCGCTTTAAACAATTCCGTAATTGTGGCATCTGTAATTGTGATTAGAAATTCAAGTGTGTGCAGTTTACATTATACATCAAAATGTCCAAGTATCATCAAGTTATGTTAATCAGAGGCCTTATTTTACAAATGAATTGAAAAACTCTATTATAAAAAACCCATAGGAAAATCTAAAGAAAACCCATAACCAATTAGTCTTTGGGGTTTTACGCCGTGGCTGCAGCAATCTATGGTTCTGTTTTAAAACTTTGTTTATTTACAGATATTTGTCCATTTTCCATGTTTTTAATGTGATCTCACATGAAATATTTAATAAATCAACATGAAAATGTGCAGAACTTTGTAAAATGACAGCCATTTGATTTTTGAATCTGTCTGGGTTTTGTGTCAATTCACATTTCCAATTCAACAAGTAAGCACAACTTATTACAATTATGAACAGACTTGAAAATGCACTTGTGTATCATTGTTTTTTGCCATATTTTGTGCTGATGTTGAGATAAAATCTGCAAAATTCTGTGGAACAAATTTAAATATGGTAAAAATATGGTAAATGAAGCTGAGCCTACAAGAGTTTAATTGCTGAAAACATCACATTAGCTGAAATATTTAATAAACAAAGAGAAAATGTGCACGACTTTGCAAAATAACAGCTATTTGAATTATGAATCTGTCTGGGTTTTGTGTCAGTTTGCATTTCCAATTCAAAAATTAAGTATGATTTATTATGAACAAACTTGAAATCACACTTACATATGATTGTTTTTCCAATATTTTGTGCTGATGCTGATATAAAATCTGCAAAATTCTTTAAAATGAATTTAAAATGGTAAAAACTGAAATGGAGCTGAGAGCACAATACTCTAATTTACTTAAAATGTTTAATAAATTAACAGAAAATGTGCAGACGTTTGTAAAATGAATCAGTCTGAATTTTGGGTTAGTTTGCATTTCTAACTTTACAATTAAGCACAATTTATTATGAACAAACTCACTGGTTTCCCCCTTATGTTGTGCTGATGTTGACATAAAATCTGCACAATTCTGTGGAACAACTTGATAGATAGATGGATGGATGGATAGATGGATAGATAGATGGATGGATGGATGGACAGAACGATAGATAGATGGATGGATGGATAGATGGATAGATAGATGGATGGATGGATGGATAGACAGAATGATAGAACGATGGATGGATGGATGGAGACAGAACGATAGATGGATGGATGGACAGAACGATAGATGGATGGATGGATGGATGGATGGATGAATGGATAGACAGAACAATAGAACGATGGATGGATGGATGGATGGATGGATGGATAGATAGATAGATGGATAGATAGATAGACAATTTCTCAGGGTCTGTTGCTTCTCAAAGGACAGATGTTTCACATGAAACAAAAGAATATTCAAAGGAAAAAGGGATGGATGGATGGATGGATGGATGGATGGATGGATGGATGGATGGATGGATGGATGGATGGATGGATGGATGGATGGATGGATGGATGGATGGATGGATGGATGGATGGATGGATGGATGGATGAATGGATAGACAGAACGATAGAACGATGGATGGATGGATGGATAGATAGATGGATAGATAGATAGACAATTTCTCAGGGTCTGTTGCTTCTCAAAGGACAGATGTTTCACATGAAACAAAAGAATATTCAAAGGAAAAACAAAAAGGGATGGAATGAAAAAGAGAGAAATAAATCCACTGAGTTTCAGAGGATGGTTTCAAACACTCGTAACGCTGCTGCTGATTCAGTTCCACTCTGAAAAAATCGACAGGAGGGAAAAAACCCAGAGGAGAGAAAAAACAGGAGCAGCGGAGGAGTGCAGCAGGATAACGGAGGGATGGAGGGGGAGGAGAGATCAGAGAACCAGAACAAGGGATGAGTGTTCGTGTGGGATAGAGAGCGGAATATGAGAGAGAATTCATGTTTACAGCAGTATTCATGTGATGAGGAACACACTCTAGTCTACGCAACATATGAACATAAACGCAATTCATGCGCTGAAATGCAATTCACAACACAACATGTGAATATCTGTTAAAAATTTCATTTATTTCTGTGATCAAAGCTGAATTTTCAGCATCATTACTCCAATCTTCAGTGTCACATGATCCTTCAGAAATCAAATCTGCTCAAGAAACATTTCTGATTATCAATGTTGAAAACAGCTGAATATTTCAGTGAAAACACTGCGATACTTTGTGAAATACTGCCATTCAATTTTTTGAAAGAAATTAAAACCTTTTATTCAGCAAGGATGCATTAAATTGTTTAAACGTGACAGTAAAGACATTTATAAGATTCATAAAAGATTTCTATTTCAAATAAATGCTGTTCTTTTGAACTTTCTATTCATCAAAGAATCATGAAAAATTAAATGTATTATGGTTTCCACAAAAATATTGGGCAGCACAACTGTTTTCAACATTGATAATAATCAGAAATGTTTCTTGAGCAGCAAATCAGCATATTAGAATGATTTCTGAAGGATCAATAACAATTTATAATATATTTAAAATTGTAATAATATTTCACTGTTTTTACTGTGTTTTCGATCAAATAAATGCAGCCTTGGTGAGCAGAAGGGACTTCTTTTTTCTTTTTTGATCAGAGGTATAAAGTGACAGACAGGAAACTTCTTTATGCAGGAAACTTTTTTGCCCCCTTGAGTACTGAAGTTTGTTACTGTACAACATAACACGCTGAACAAGAATTCATGCAATTCTGTTTCTGCTTCAGCTTCAGCTTGTTCATCAGCTGTTCTTCATTTTGCTGGAAGCCGACCAAATTCTGTCTGTATTGTGTTTCAACTCTCCAGCTGATCAATATTCTCACTTTAGATGAAAACATGTTTGCCCACAGCTGTCGGATAAATGAGATCATGTTATATGAGAATTCCCAATGACTTGAAACAAAACGAAACTACAAAAATCTGTCCTGAAACACAACATGCCAAAACTGATGCTATTTACTTTCTTAATGCACACTCTTGGTCTTGTTGAAAAGGATTGCATGTTACAGTGCATGAAAAAGTGTTTATGTGTTCATAATCTTTCATCAAACTGAAATGAAAACGTTGCTTTTTTCAGCTGACATCGCCTGTTTCACTCATATTATCGTAGTCAAATGGGTTGCGAAGTGCATTTCATGTTGACTTTAACACTGAATCTGTCGTAAGACTCGAGAGCTGAACAGTAATGTGTGTCTCACATGTGTCACACAAAGGCTCGCAGTCTAAGCCTGTTGGACTCGCTAATGTGAGTTTAGCAGATAAGGAGGAAGGCTGTGTGATTCAAAAGCATCTCACAGAAGATTCAAGACATGAGTGGGCACCTTTAAACCACTGAGAGAATGCAGGAGCTGCAAGAGAGATGGAACGCTCCAAAATCCTGAGCTTTAGCAGTAAAACATCCCTCTCGAGATGAGCTCAGAAATGTGTGTGTGTGCGTCCACACTCACTAATGCATATGCAGATCTGAGAAATACACACAAACTGTGAGATCAGGCGAGATCTCTCTCACACACACACACACACACACGTGATGAGGGTTCTCAGCTATATCAAGAAAACATTCAAGTCACCCCAAAATCAAAGAAAGAAATGATTCATTTTGAGAATCTTTTTGTTTAAATAATTAAAATGAGAAATGATGTCTACCCTAGGAGCAGTGAGATGTTTTGCATGGTGAAAAACACATTTTCCCCTCAAATTCTTATTATTGCAATGCATCTGGCCTCAATTTTTCTTAATGTATAAAAACATGATAATAATAAAATGATATATAAATATATTCAAAATGTTATCAATAAATGTATATTTAAAAATATATAAAAAGTTTGGAGTCAGTAAAATGTTCAAATGCTCTTCTGCTCATCAAGACTGCATTTATTTGTTTAAAAAAACAGTAAAAACAGCAATATTGTGAAATATTATTAATATTTCAAATAAATGTTCCCTATTTGAATATATTTTAAACTGTAATTTATTCCTGTAATGTAAATCTGTATTTTCAGCATCATTACTCCAGTCGTCAGTGTCACATGATCTTCAGAAATCAGTATAATATGCTGATCTGCTGCTCAAGAAACATTTCTGATTATTATCAATGTTGAAAACATTTGTGCTGCTCAATATTTTTGTGAAAACTGTGACAGATTTTATTTCTCAGGATTTTTTGATGAATAGAAAGTTCAAAAGAACAACATTTATTTGAAATAGAAATCTTTTGTTACATTATAAATGTATTTACTGGCACTTTTGATCATTTTAATGCAACCTTGCTGAATATAAAAAATGCACTGACTCCAAAGTTTTGAATGGTAATGTTATATATATTTATATATACATGGAAAAGTTCTTTATTTTTTGTAATTTAATTTTAAAAAAGCAAACTTTCTTATATTCTAGAGTCATTGCACACAAACTGAAATATTTCAAGAGTTTTTTTTTTACATTTTTTTATTCTGATGGTTACGACTTATAGCTTAGGAAATAAAAAAATTCAGTATCTCAAAAAGTGTGAATATTTTCTCAAAGATCAATCAAAAAAGGTTTACAAAACAGAAATGTTCAAGATCTCCAAAGTAGATTTAATTATGCACTCAATACTTGGTTGGGACTCCTTTAGCATGAATTACTGCTTCAATGCAGCGTGGCATGGAGATCAGCCTGTGGCGCTGCTGAGGCGTTAGTGAAGCCCAGCTTGCTTTGATAGCGGCCTTCAGCTCGTCTGTATTGTTTGGTCCGATGTTACTTATCTTCCTCTTGACAGTACCCCATAGATTCTCTATGGGGTACAGGTCAGGCATGTTGGCTGGCCAAACAAGCACAGTAATATCATGGTCAGCAAAGCACTTGGAAGTGGTTTTGGCACTGTGGGCAGGTGCCAAGTCCTGCTGCAAAATGAAATCAGCATCTCCAAAAAGCTTATCAGCAAAAGGAAGCATGAAGTACTCTAAAAATCTTCTGGTAGACGACTGCATTGATTTTGGACTTGATAAAACACAATGGACCAACACCAGCAGACGTCACAGCACCCCAAATCATCACTGACTTCAGAAACTTCACACTGGACTCCAAGCAGCTTGGATTCTGTGCCTCTCCAGTCTTCCTCCAGACCTTGATTTCCAAATTAAATGCTAAATTCACTTTTATCTGAAAAGAGGACTTTGGAGCACTGAGCAACAGTCCAGTTCTTTTTCTCCTTAGCCCCAGGTGAGACACTTCTGACGTTGTTTCTGGTTCAGGAGCAGCTTGGTTCTAGGAATGTGACAGCTGTAGCCCATTTCCTGAAGATATCTGTGTGTGGTGACTCTTAATGCGCTGACTCCGGCTTCAGTCCACTCCTTGTGAAGCTCTCCCGAGTTCTTGAATCGGCTTTTCCTGACAATCTTCCCAAGGCTGCGGTCATCCCTGTTGCTTGTGCTTTTCCTACCACACTTCTTCCTTCCAGTTAACTTTCTATAAATGTATTTAGATTCAGCCCTTTCAGCGATGACCTTCTGTGGCTCACACTCCTTGTGGAGGGTGTCGATGGTCGTCTTCTGGACAACTGTCAAGTCAGTAGTCTTCCTCATAATTGTGGCTGCATGTTCTAAACTAGCACAGGAGGTAATCAAACTAATCAAGCTCAAAATGGAATATTCAAATTTTTTGAGATACTGAATTTTTAAATTTACTAAGCTGTAAGTCTTACCCTTACGGAATTAAAACAAAAAAACTCTAGAAATATTTCAGTTTGTATGCAATGACTCTAGAATATAAGTAAGCTTTTTTTAATTAAATTACAAAAAATAAAAGAACTTTTCCATGATATTCCAATTTTTTGAGATGCACCTGTATATATATATATATATATATATATATATATATATACTTCCTCATAATTGTGGCTGCATGTTCTAAACTAGCACAGGAGGTAATCAAACTAATCAAGCTCAAAATGGAATATTCAAATTTTTTGAGATACTGAATTTTTAAATTTACTAAGCTGTAAGTCTTACCCTTACGGAATTAAAACAAAAAAACTCTAGAAATATTTCAGTTTGTATGCAATGACTCTAGAATATAAGTAAGCTTTTTTTAATTAAATTACAAAAAATAAAAGAACTTTTCCATGATATTCCAATTTTTTGAGATGCACCTGTATATATATATATATATATATATATACACATATAGTGTTGTCAAAAGACCCGGTACTTCGGTACCAAGTCGGTACTTAAAAAATGAAAACGTTACGGTACCAGGTTTTCTTAAGTAAAAAAAAAGACGTAGCGACCTCAAAAGGAGGAAACTCATCAAACTAACAAAATACTTTAAAGACCTACACCCGGATCAAATGAAAGAGTTCAAACAGCTACGTTTCAATTTAATTTTTAAATAAATAAATAACTTCTGTTATGAATATTATTCTATATTTTAATTTGAATGTCGGATTGAAATAAACATCGCCGTTATTAGCATAGTTAATCGTTAGCATAAGCGCGGCTAACGCTAATATAATGATCATTAGAATGAAGTTTATTTATTAACTATTTAATGCTCCTATAATTTTTATTGGGGTAAAAAGCAGGAGGACATGGTGGTATTTACTGTTTTTACACACCAGAGGCTTTTAAATGAATTGTGAATCTAAAATATGCGTGTTAGAGAATGTACAAATGGTTAACATTGTTTATGTCATATCAGTCCGTCAGAAAAGCAGTTCTGGGCTTTTTTTTTTTTAGTTAAGTTAGTTGGTTAGTTGTTATTCTTGGCTGGATAACTCTAGCAGCTATAGATAACTAAATATGTACACAGTTTGGATTAAATGAAAGTACAGTCAAATTTTATCTCCTGTATAGACCATCTAACATCAACTTACAGTGAGTGAACAATATATTTTTACAACATTAATGTTTTTGAATGTTATTTAATACAAACACTTGATCATTCATGTTTGTTCATTGTGCATTAAATAATTTTAACAGATTGAACTGATTTTATGTATTAGTACATTTTTAAATTAAGCCCAAGAACAATAATTGCTCTATAACTATTGTTTATTGATAGGTTATGTTATCTAACTAATGGAATCTTACTGTAAAGTGTTTTTAATACTACAGTTTTCATCTATTTGATATAGACTTGACTTAAAATATATGTAATCTTATCTAAATTTATTATAAAAGCTGAGGTTTGTTATTTACTGAAAAGTTATATTTTAGCTGTTGTCATTGGTCTAATGTTGCATTTGGTCAGACTCAGCCCATTGCTTTACTTAAGTATATTATATTGTTCTTTTACAGCTGCAGACTGAGGAAGATCCTGAAACACACCAGCAAACCCTAAAACAGACAACAGTTTACAGATGTTTTTCAGCGGCAGCAGAAATATGACAAAAACTTTTGGGTGAAACTTGTTTACTTTTTTTTCATACTTTTATTACTTGCGGAAAAACTTGAAACGATTTTAAATAAGTATAAAGAATGGCACTGATTTTTGTACATTTTATTTTTGTTTGACTTTATTAATAAAAATAATGTGTTTTTTTAATTAGTATGTTTTTGTGTTTTGCTTTGGTACCGAAATTGGTACTGAGAACCGTGACAACACTTTGTAGCAATAGCCAACAATACATTGTATGGCTGATTGATGATTGATTTTTCTTTTATGCCAAAAATCATTAGGATATTAAGTAAAGATCATGTTCCATGAAGATATTTTGTAAATTTCCTACTGTAAATATATTAAAACTTCATTTTTGATTAGTAATATGCATTGCTAAGAACTTCATTTGGACAACTTTAAAAGTGATTTTCTCAATATTTAGATTTTTTCCCACCCTCAGATTCCAGATTTTCATATAGTTGTATCTCAGCCAAATATTGTCCCATCCTAACAAACCATACATCAATGGAGAGCATATTTATTCAGCTTTCAGATGATGTATAAATCTCAATTTCGAAAAATTGGCCCTTATGACTGGTTTTGTGCTCCAGGGTCACATACTGTATATATATGCAAAAGTGAAGGGAACATTAAGATCTGCAACAACACCCTTCAAATCTAAATCATCTTTTATTTCCTTTTTGGATTTCAGAGTGTATCAATTTCTGACACAGAGGGAACAGACAGAGAGACTCACTGTTGTCACTGTTTTCGTCTTTGGACCCGCTGACGGTTCCGTCTGGCTGCATCTGCAAGTAGAAGCCCTGCTCGCTGAAGAGCCTGGTCACTATCCCCTTCAACTGAGGCTCTGAAACACACGGCACAAACACGTCACAAAAACACAACCGCAAAACCTGCACACCATCAGCACTCTCAGAAACTGCTTCTTTGTAGCAGGTTTGAGTTGAGCTACATGGCTCTTTGGACATTATAAAGTCTCAGATGTTACATTACAGGTTCTTCTGATCCGATAATGAAGAGCTAGACAAAACAACATGTTTTTATGAAACTTAAAATGCAAAACCCTTCTTAAAACCTTTAAATAAACTACTCTAAACCAATCATGCACGCAAACAAGCGCAGGTTTTGAATGGGACGGATGCATCATAATGCATGCTGAACTGACATATAATGCTTAGTATTGTTCAAAATGAATGACTTAAAAAAGGAACCTGTCATGTTACCGAAATCGCAAGTGCTGCTAACCAATTAAAATGTGTTAATTGTTTCAGTACCTTGCTAATTATGTTAGTAAACCGGCTCCCCTTCTGCCCTGACATCTGTGACACTGTCTCACTCCCAGCATGTTTTCAAGCGTTTCGACCCAATATTTAGTATTAAAAAAGGTCACGCGCTATAAAAAGACCAATGAAATTTGAATTACAGACACACTTGTACTATATTTCTCGTTTTAGAAGAGCTCAGTCGACCGGCATGAACAGAGACAGGAGAAAAAGTAGTCAAAAATGATATAGACATCATAAACAAACCGAAACTGAACTGAACAGAATAGAGTTTGCCAGCTTTAATATGCATGTTTAATTTACAACAGAATAGTTTCTGATTGTAACATTGAAATGTAGCATTTTCTGTGAAGCTGCTTTAAAGCAACATGTAAAAAAAAAAAAGTGCTTATATATGAAAAGCGCTATTAAAATGATCTTGAATTGAATTCATTTGAAGTTTAATTGCAAAGACACACCTGTAACCATTCAGAATAAAATAACATGCTGCAGTTCACGGTCACACTTTATAATGACATTTATTAATAACATCAAACACTGTGGCATTATTTAATGATTATTGAAATGACAAATGTAAAGTTCAAACTCGATACATATTTAAATTATGTTCACATATATTTGTATGCATGTAGTTATCATTTGTATGTGAAGCACATTCACTACCTGTTAAGCATTAAAATGTTAATGCACGAATATATATATATATATATATATTAGTCAACATTTGAAGTGGATCAAACCCTTTCAAAGTTGTCCTAAAACCAAAACAATACCCGTTCTTGTAGCACAACTTTGATGAACTTTTTTGATCCACTTCAAATGTTGACTACTGTATATTTAACTAGATTCATGTCTAATATTGTAGAACTATTCATATTTTCAATCTATATTAATATTTTAAAGCGTTTATTGTGAAAGTTATCATTTAAAAAAATCATATATTCAATGATATTAACAGACAAATGTTTTACATCTAACATTTGTTTTTATTATACATTTTAATTTGATCTGATATTGTATATACACTTTTAATATTTTAAGGTATTTATTGTAATGTATCTATCTATCTATCAATTGTACATAAACTACTTGTTAAACAATATAATGCAATCAAAGTTATCAATAAAACAATCATATATGTGACCCTGGAGCACAAAACCAATCATAAGTCGCTGGGGGATATTTGTAGCAATAGCCAACAATACATTGTATGGGTCAAAATTATAAATTTTTCTTTTATGCCAAAAATATGTATATTAAGTAAATATCATGTTCCATTAAGATATTCTGTAAATGTCCTACTGTAAATATATAAAAACGTAGTTTTTGATTAGTAATATGCATTGCTAAGAACTTCATTTGGACAACTTTAAAGATGATTTTCTCAATATTTTGATGTTTTTGCACCCTCAGATTCCAGATTTTCAAATAGCTGTGTATCAGCCAGATATTGTCCGATCCTAACAAACCATACATCAATGGAAAGATTATTTATTCAGCTTTCAGATGATCTATACATCTCAATTTAGAAAAATTGACCCTTATGAATGGTTCTGTGGTCCAGGGTCACATATTTGCATTTAGCGTGCATAAACTTCCTGTTTTGCATTATGAATGTTAATGCAGTCATCAAAGTAGCCTAATCAATAAACAATCACGCAAAATCTATTTGTGTAGCATAAACAGCGACGCAAACTCTCATTCGCGGTTGTCAGCGCGCACAGGTGATCGTCACGCGCTGCGCACAGGTGGGAATGAACTGACCTGGTTTCCGGCGCACGGGTCGTTTTTTCCCGCTGCAGAACCGGACTTTACCGAAGAGTCCGAACAGGTGCCGATTGCACAGGGAGCTTCGGCCGGAGGGCTCTTTACAGGGACTGGAGCGGCGCTTACCGGACACGGCTCGCTCGCTGTTTGACTCGCGCGCCTGCCGTTTCTGTCGGATGAGCGAGCTGGCGATCGCCGCGGCCATCTCACGGGAGAGCGAGGGACGCGGGTCCGGTGACGATCGTGCAGATTCGGTGCAGATTCACGGTGCAGACCACCGGCGCGAGGGAGCGAGCGCGCGCGCGTCTCTCGAGCAGGCATGCACCGGAGCATGAGCGATACCGATAGACTCGTGTTTCTTACCACGGAAAGCACTTAGAGTTACATAACCGCACAATTAGAGCACATAACAACACCGAGACCGTCCAAAAACGAGAGTCCTAACGGAGCGTCAGTTATTCACGACATGAAGAGCTCCGAAACGCGCAGCTGCAATGACGGGCGATGGGTGTCCGCTTCTTAACTTCTCATCACTAAAGGTCCGGTTTGTCCTCCTCAACATGTTGATTTAACAGCTCTCGTCCCATCTCCGTTCACAGTCCGTTTCCAGCATCTTTCCTAAGATCCGGTGCAAGGAAAATCCTCAGAAAATCCAATAGAGTGATTTTCAATCTACAGATGCATCTTGTGTGATTCCAGCCGAGGAGATGAAGCTCAGAATAATGCGGAGGGAACGAGAGACAGGGAGGGGGAGTAATGTGTGTGTGTGTGTGTGTGTGTGAGAGAGTGTGTGTGCGTGTGTGTGTGTGTGTGTGTGTGTGTGAGAGAGAGAGTGTGAGAGTGTGTGCGTGTGTGTGTGGGGTCGGATAGAAGGAGAGCGACTCGACTGGGAACAGAGGGGAGAGGTCAAAGCAACAGCTTTCCCAAAAAATAGTCGCAGCGGGAGCACAACGGCAGCTTAAACCAGAAACAAAACTTTGTTGACCAACACTATTAAAAATACAGGTTCTTTATTGGCATCAATGGTTCTATGAAGAACTTTGAACATCCATGGAACCTTTCAAATGCAGAAAAGGTTCTTTAGATTTTTTAAATGTTCTTCAAAAGGAACCAAAAATGGTTCTTCTATGCTCTATGGTATCACTGCAAAAACACCCTTTAGTAACCTTTATTTTTAAGAGTGAATACGAGTTTTTAAATGGTGCATCTCCGCATCTTTGAGGTATGGAAGCACAGGTGAAAAAAATAATAAAAGGTAATTCTGACTTTTTCCCCTCCCAATGCTGATCATTTTTATCTTGCAATTCTGACTTTTCTCTGAATGGTCTCAGAATTGTGATATAAATTCAGAATTGCGAGACAAAAAGTTGCAATTATCTTTTTTTAATAAAAAAACAGAATTGTGAGTTGTAAATTTGCAATTGCGAGAAAAAGTCATAAATGTGACAAAAAATCTTTTTAATCCTTTAAAATGACCTTTTTTTATTAGGTGTCGGTAAAAAATAAGTAAATAAATAAATAATAAAAACTGAATTGTGAGATGTAAACTCAGTTGTGAGATATAAACTCACAATTGCAAGAAAAAGTCAGAATTGAGAGATATAAAGTCGCAATTACCTTTTATAAAATTGTTTAATTCCGTGTCAGAGGCAAAAAAATTAAACAGAATTGCTATATAAATTCAGAATTGTGAGATGTAGACTAAACTTGCAATTGCGAAATGTACATTTGGAATTGCAAGAAAAAAAACGAATTCTGAGTTTATATCTCGAAATTCTGAGTTTATATCATCAATTCAAATTTTTTTTTTATAATTGCATGAAAAAAAAAAATTATCTCGTGGTGGAAACAACCTTCCATATCACGACCCAGATATACTAATGGAAAATAATTTTTCGTTCTTCGCTTAAGGGTAAAAAAAATATAGTGTGAAAAAAGTATATATTTTGAAACAGTGAACATCCCATTTACGTTAACGCTTCTCTTTGCGAACATTCCATTTCTGCGTTGCAAAATAAGGTGGATGCGCTTATAAGATTGCTTTAAACAGGATTAAACACAAAAAAACAGTGCAAGTGTTGCTTTCAATTAATATTACAACTTTAATTTCTACTATAAAGCAGCTGTCCAGTGTGTTCATGTTTTTGTATGCATCTAACCTCAATGCATCGTCATAGAAGGCGGAGCCTCAGAGCCACACCCACCTAATTACATAATCGCTACAGACCAATGGGAGTCTGAAGGTGTTTAACTGGAAATGTTTCTGGAAAGTTTCCAGTTTTTCTTTCTTTTTTGCCTGATTTTGTTTGAAATGATGTCACACTTGTTCGTTCATCAATTTCACTTGAAGTGTACTGTAGAACATGTATACAGTCTCTGAAACAGCTCAGCTTTGAATAAAAAGCCTAAAACGGTATTTCTCGCTGGACAGATTTCCATGGGAAAAAACATTGCACAAAGGTCATTTCACCACGCTTGCAAGATGTTGAGTACAAAACTAATGTTGCAAATAAATCATTACAATGCAAACCTAAATTAACAACATTTGTGAGTCAGTATCGTTAGGACAAAGTTTAATTAGGGCATTTTCAAATGCAGTTGGATAATTACATTTATGGATGGTTTGGCTTCATGTGATTGCTTTTTATGATGAACGCTGTTAATTTGCGCGGGAAGGTGAATTGAGACGCCCCGCGGGTCTGTGATGGAGCAGCTGTCACTGCTGCTGACTCAGGTACCGATATTATATCGAATACGCAGAGCTGTCATGTGCTGAGAGATGCTTTCTGAAGTCTCCAGTAAAGAGGCCAATCACTATGACCCAGATACATCATTCAACCTTCATCACACAACACTGATTACTTTATCACTGAGAGAACGAGAGAGAGAGAGAAAGACAGCAGAAGAGAAAGAGAGGATGTCTATCTATAGTCTACGCTGAGTAGGCCAGTAGTACTTGTGCATGCTAGTTCACACACACACACACACACACACAGATTTGAGGTCCCTACAAGTAAAGCATGAATGCTTAGATCCAATTACTGATGCATTTTTACCATAAATATATATACACACATCTCAGTCAGTGCAATGAGTCAATAAGTCATGGGGAAAAAATCAATAAGTCATGGCACCATTTTTTTCCATTACTTTAACTCATTAAAATAATTAAACCAATTTCTACTTCCTTTAAGTCAATTGCAATTAACCTAATTTGTATAGTGTATATATATATATATATATATACACACAGATTTGAGGTCCCTACAAGTAAAGCATGAATGCTTAGATCCAATTACTGATGCATTTTTACCATAAATATATATACACACATCTCAGTCAGTGCAATGAGTCAATAAGTCATGGGGAAAAAATCAATAAGTCATGGCACCATTTTTTTCCATTACTTTAACTCATTAAAATAATTAAACCAATTTCTACTTCCTTTAAGTCAATTGCAATTAAAAAAATATATGTAGTGTATATATATATATATATATATATATATATATATATATATAAACACATTATATTTAGTGATTTACATACAATGATACAAAAGTTGGTCAGTAGTAATCTTTTTGTATGTTTTTTTATGTTTTGCATTTATTTGATCAAAAATACCATAAAAACAAAATTTAAATAATATTACAATTATGATAACTTTTATAATGTTACAAAATATTAATTTATATTGTTAAGTTATAACATTTATAATGTAAAATGTTTAAGGTTTAGATGTTATGTTGAACTTGGTATGTACTATGTATGTAATTTTTGATTATGTAAGCACTTTGCTGCATCTTATGTCTGAAAGGTGTTACATAAAGTTTATTATTCTTATAATTATTTCAAAATTTTCAAATAATATTTCATATTTTTATTGATAATTTGTTATTTGATAAATGGTCAGGAATATGTTTTTTGTTGGCAAAAGTGAATTTAGACTTCCAACATTATAATGTACAATATGAAATATGGATAACTACTCATTTTGATATTAATAGTTCATGAGGTCAGACCTCATTACAGGAAAGTGCTGTTCAAGAAATAGTGTGCTTAAACAGTTAAATCTTAATATAGTAATTTCCCTTTAAGTTAAGGCATTGCACACTGAAGATCCTTGCACACTGAGTCCAAAATTTTCGTATGCATTTTTTCTCCCACTTTTTTTCGTATTCGTCATCCTATCAAAATGCTTTCTTCAGATGCGAAAAATGCAGAAAATCGATGCTGATCCGAATTTTTTTATGATGGATGAAAGTTTCGGAGGCAGTGTATAAACGTGATTGACACAACGTGAGTCGTATTTATTTTTTAACGTGCGAAAATTTCGGACTCAGTGTACAATGCCCTTCAGTGTGCAAGGACCTTTACGAATACGAAAAAACGCATAAGAAAATTTCGGACTCGCTGTGCAATGACCTTTACTGCTAGATGATGGCAAAAATAATCTGATCACCTATAACCTCCTAACTGTCCTTTTTGAACATTGATGTGAAAATGCACTATGCAAACTAAAATGGTTGTAAATAATGAATGCATCGGAATACAAATACGTTTACTGTAAAGAAAATGTACTGTACTATTTTTATTTTATTTTATATAAAATAAATAATTTACAAAATGTTTTGGAATATAAAATCAAAGCCATATGTCTAACCATGTTCCAAATTTGAAGTTGATATCACAAAAATTGAGGTTCCTATTAGATTTTGTTTAGATGACACCCAAACACTATAGAATTTTTAATGCATTTTTCTGTCACAAATTCCTAAATATATTACTTATATCACAAAATAACCACCATACATGCATACATGAAACATTGAGACCCAGCCCTTTCCAACAATGTGTTTTGTCAATGTGACACATGACACTGTCCACAAGGGGGAGGAGCCTACTAAAGGGATTTTAAAGTACCATTTTCATGATAGCGCAATGTCCGATTTCAAAATAGTTTTCATGGAATGAATTTTGGTTATTTAACCTTTCGAATGATTTCAAATGATATCTAATTTAGGATGATTACAAAATATGTGATAGGTATAAAAAAAAAAAAAGGTAAATTAACAAAAGCACCAATCCAGGTAACAGGTTAAATCTCAAATGTCCAGAAAAGTTTTACTTTTGTATGATGATGACCTGTGGTAATGTGTTGAGTCAGCACTAAATCAGTGACCTGTAAAGAACAGGATGAGAATAAGGAGGAAGAGGAAGGCTGAGCTTCATCAGATCCTCTGTGAAAGACGAGTGTGGGTGTTGACAATGACCCCTAATGATTTAGGAGTAGTATAACCCCATCTCAGCACGAGTGTGAGCGTGTGTGTGTGTGTGTGTGTGTGTGTGTGTGTGTGTGCAGAACAGGATGAGAATAAGGAGGAAGAGGAAGGCTGAGCTTCATCAGATCCTCTGTGAAAGACGAGTGTGGGTGTTGACAATGACCCCTAATGATTTAGGAGTAGTATAACCCCATCTCAGCACGAGTGTGAGCGTGTGTGTGTGTGTGTGTGTGTGTGTCCTGAGGAGTGTAACCTGCCCTCAAAACGGATCCCAAAATGAGTTTGTGTTTCAAAGACAGAGATCAGATTTGGAAAAATAAGAAAAGAGACGGAAACTGAAACTCTATAATCTGTATTTAGTGTCTGTGGGTTGGTGGTAGCCGAGCTCTGATTGGTTGGTCGTCAAAGGAAGGAACCAATGGCAACGGTGCTATCTGTCATTATTATGACCCCTGATGGAGCAGTTTTGAAATTGATCAGAAAACTCAACACCAACACACACACA